TTTTCAGTGATGCCCCTCCCTCTTGCAGACCACTTCAAATCTGCTGTTAAGTGTGAGTTGGGTAACTTAGCTTGGTGTGGTGGCAATGGAGAATGAGGGCAGCACCGGAGAAAGAATATTGGTGTAGGGAAGCAGCAGCATAATCTATCCTTCCACCAGCAAGCTGATCCTTACTGGACACAAGCCTGTGTATTCCAAAGCTCGAAAAATGCAGCTTGATAAAAGCTTCACTTTATCTTCCACAAACTACCTCTGACACTTAAATGTGTCTAAAGGGTGACAATTAAAAACAACATGTCTCCATGGCTTCTGGCCAGGACTGTGTATTAATGGCCCATTCTAGTTTCACCAAAAGACTTAGTTTTCATACTGACCTATAATATGTCAGCTGGCATATTATTGCCATTGCGTTTAATGCGTTCCTATTGGGGAAAAACTCACCGGTAAGCAAAGATTCCCCCATCCAGCCGCCATTTTCGCTGCCCAGTAAGCGAGGGCAGGGCGCAAAAACGCTGCGGGCAGCCATTTTCTGCACCCGGCGGCCATTTTGGAACCGTCGATCAGCTGTTTTCTAAACATTGCAATGCGAAGATCGGTAAGCGAAACACTTACCGATCATCGCAATGCAATGTTTTGCCTATCTAAACATCGCAATGCGATCGCATTGGCGATCACAAAAAACGCGTCGCTATGCGGACTCGTCATTAAATGGTGCGCTCGTTAAGCGAGGCACCACTGTAATAGAGTATTTGTCTGAAAGGAAAGGAATATTGTTTTTGCTGCTATCTGAACTCTAAATTCAAGATAGCAGCCCACTTGGGTCTCAAAATAATTTTTTTGAAAAGGCAGAGCAAAGTTAGAGAGAAATTCTGTAGATAGTAGACTTTGTATTAAGGAAATAGAGAAGCAAATTAGGGTTGTATACAGTATTGCCTTTTAGCAGTTTAAATTTTTTTTTAAATTCAAGGAGCATTGTTAGAATAATGCAAAAGTCTGTTGACCAAAGCAATTTTCTACACATGAAACTTGTTTAATGTAACATTTTCACATTATCTTTTCAGAAGCTTTTGAGAATAATTTTCAAGTTTTATGCCAATCAATTCACAGTCCTAAGGTTTTACAGTAGTCAGAAAGTAATGAGTAACTAACACTCTTTGCAACATTTACTCACACAAATTACTTCGGGGGGGAGGGTTACAACAACATTCATAACAAATTACCTTAAAAACAGCTTTCCATGTTCCCAACAGAACAATAAACAACTGAACTGCTGGATAGCTCAACGAGAGATGGTGCGCCACCCCAAACCGACCAGTTTCTTTCCGTGCTTCCATTGCAATGGGCGGGAAGGTGGGCCAACGGCAGGGGATTGTGGGATTTGTACTCTAAACCTTGTGGAGCGCCCCTGCCACTCCCTTCTTGAAGCAAACTGTTATACTCAAGCCACTGACATGCTGCCCTTTTCGCCTTCACTGAACAGATCCTCAGGGTTCAGGAAGAAAGAGGAGTGGCTTACTTTCCGCAGTGCATTTGCTTAAGCCTCTCTATGACAGCCCCATGTGTTTTGCCCTCAGCGCTCTCAGTTCAGTTTGAGAGCTTTCTCTCCCAGATGATTTACACATAGAGGCACATCACACCCGTGTACATGGAAGACGGGAAGATCTCAAGTCCGATGTCCCTCAGTGCCATTTAAAGTCAGCCAGGTGGACTTTCTTCCCCCCTGACAGCCAGCCAGCCAGGCAGCCACAACAGGACAACAAGAAAAGCTGGAAAAGCTGCCCTTACCCTATCCCAAGGTATTAAAAAGAAATAAAGAAAAGCTGCTGAATTCCCACCCACCCAGGATGACCCAAGCCAGCCCTTCCCCTAGAAATCCTGCTGCGCCACCCCAAACCAACCCATTTCTCTCCATGCTTCCCTTGCAACGGGCGGGAAGATGGGCGGGAAGGCAGGATGCACAAACGGGACTCATCTCTCCCTCGCCACCTGGGTGCAAGGCAGTGCTTCACCGGGTGAGGATGGGGACGTGAGAGACCCTTTCCTTCCACCCGATCCACACTTGGTTCTCCCCTAAGGGAGAAAGGCGAGACATGACAGGCGGAAAGAGCAGTGGCGGCACCGGATCCACTGCCAGCACCATGGCTGCAGCCTCCTTCACAGGTTTGGCTCGCTCCAGCGCCCCCCTACCATCCCCCTTCTGTTCTGCCGCCCCCACGCCATCCCTTTTCATTCTACCGCCCCCCTGAAAAATGAAATCGCCCCCTGGGGGCATTATTGCCCACGGTAAGAACCACTGATCTAGCAGAGCATACCCTGTTTCCCCTAAAATACGACCTAACCTGAAAATAAGCCCTAGTATGATTTTTTCAGGATGCTCTTAATCTAAGCCCTACCCCAAAAATACACCCAGTTAAGTGAAACCCTGCCCTCCACCCTTGTGCAGCAACCAGAAGAAGATGACATGACTGTATTTGAATAAATGTAGATTGTTGTACATGAAAAAACTAAAACATCCCCTGAAAATAAGTCCTAATGCATTCTTTGGAGCAAAAATTAATATAAGACCTTGTCTTATTTTTGGGGAAACATGGTACTAGCCGTGGATGTTTTATTTTTTCATGTACAACAATGTACATTTATTCAAATACAGTCATGTCATCTTCTTCTGGTTGCTGCACAAGGGTGGAGGGCGGGATTTCACTTAACTGGAGGTATTTTGGGGGTAGGGCTTAGACTGGGCTATGAAAAAGGAAGCCTTCATTTTGAAATTGTCTTGTGTTCTGGCTTTTTGGTGATCTTGGTGTATTTTGTAGACCAGCCGTGGTTTCTTATAGGGGTGGGCAATGTGTGGCCACCTAGATATTTGGGGGTGGGGGGGAAGCAAGGCTGAAAATAGCCTTAATGTCAGTGTTAGGACACTTAGCCCTCCAAGCATTATAGAACTTTAGAACATCCTTTGGTCTATGGTTGTTTGTCACAGTTAACATTTATTCTTGAAAAGGCTAAATACTAATGTGAAGCAGACAGTCTTATCAAAGTTAATTTGATTATCAAGGTATATATCATTTACTTGCTTCTGGCTGGTTTACCAGAAATGTAGCTTTCAAACTTGCTCAGTCTCTCTTCATAGGATGAGAATAAATGACTGTTTTCACTCAGGTTGAAGTAAACAGAGAAAAAAAAGTTCCATGCAAATTTAGCTGTTCTACAAAATTTATTTATCTATATTGCTTCTACATTCCCTAAGCATAAAGATGCTTCATAGTTGTTGAAAACGTGCATCTTTGTTTAAAAAAAAGGTGGGGGGATCAATAAAAGTAGAAATGCATTTGTTTGTCTTATGGCATATATGAACACACACATGGAAAAACAGTGTATTTTCTAAATGCTCACCCAGCCGTCTGCCAGTTAAAATCTATGGAGAAAAATCCATGATTTTGCCTCTGTGCTGCTGTGTCTTTGCAGTAGCAATTATCTCTTTCCTCTCCCTGGCTGTTGGACTGGCTGACTGGCTGGCATCCAGTTTACATTACACCTGCCCTTTTATAGGCATGGGATGTTTATATATCTTTATCTTTGTTTGCATCTTCCTCCTGACCTAGCAGATTCCAAAACTGAAAGGCTAATACAACATCTCATAGACTTTGCTGCTCAAGCCAATGTTTGCTGATAAGAAGAAACAAAACAATTCTCTCTTATCCTTCTTTGTCTTTTAACCTAGCAGGCTCATATTTTCTCATTGCTACAGTTGCAAACCTGAGAGTCTTTCCATAAACTCTGCTACTCACATAGATTATATGGGAATTAATGGGAGGTTTATAATAAATCTACAGTAACCTCTAATGGACATTCAGTAAATGACTACTTAAACAGCTTCCTTCCTTCCTTCCTTCCTTCCTTCCTTCCTTTCTTTTTGTCCTGAAGTAACCTCTACCAGGAAGTTTGTTGCTGTTCAAACTTCTATGTTTTAATTACATGTCAGATTTTAGTGTTAAAATTATTTAGTGAATAGTGTTAAAATTATTATATTTGTACTCATTTAATACTTTATTTACACAGAATATAAAGCTTTGACACCCCCCCCACACACACACACCTTCCATCTGGTGAGCGTGGGGAAGTCATGTTTGTAGATTTTCTCTGTGGCTCAATAGTCCAGTTTCACAATCTTCATGATGAGAGGGAGGAAAAGCAATACACACTTTTTTTGATAACACAGAGACCTTTCGGTAGTGTCGGTGGCATATAAGTTAAAAAAATAAATAAATAAAAGGTTAGGGCTAGTAAGTATCAAGAAATGGCAAGAAGGGGATTGCCTCTTCTGGGATGATACTTCAATTTTTGTAAATGAATATATTAGAAGTATTATTATTATATAATATAATGAAATCTGTTTAAAAACTTGGGGTCACTGTTTTCATTTGTCTTTCTAACTCAGTGGGACTTACAAGTAGATCAGAATGCAGTTGTATTTTTAAAGTCTTTTTTAAAAAGCAAAAGTCTTCTACACAATTATTTGAGAGTAGAATTAGAATAGAAATAACTCCTCAGGAAACATGCATACAGTTGCATTGTTAATATATCTAACCTATTTAAGTGTTGCAGTGCTAATTAATTATTGTTGTATTTAGGGCCAAGGAAGGAATTCCCCCTCCCACATCAGGCAGAAAACTGTTTTTCCTATCTAAAGCTGTAACCTGTCTATTTGACTTGCAGGTTACAAATTTCTAACCCACGAGTCTCAATAAAGCCAGTGATAAAAATTCTCAATTTAATCTGCTTAAGTTCATAAATTCTGTATTAAACTATAAATTTGCAGTAAATCCTGATTTCTTTTTCAACCATGTTAATAGAATAAAGGAAGACATATATGGTCAACAGGTATAAATATTCAGGAGAAGGAAAACTCCGATTTCAAACCTCCACTGCCTTGTGGCTATATCCATTCATGGAAAAGGCTTCAGGAGTTAACCTAGAGGCAAAATCCGGAGCTGGAGTCCCGAAGGCAGTTCTTGTCGTTCTGCCAACTCCTGCGACGTTGCTGGAACCAGTTGTATTGGCTATTGCCTTTCCATTGGACCATTCCAGCAATGTGGAGAGGGGGGATCTGCTGCTTGGGTAACAGCCTATCCTACATATTACTTTACCCAGGCTTCATGCTCTGGAGAGGACACTCCTCATTTCAGAGCATGTTACCATAGTCTTTCGAGACTGAAGGATGCCTATGTCATAAATATTCTGTAGGAGCAGTGATCAGGAACCACAAGGAACGACAGGGTAGGCTTACATTTTAACTGCAACATACGCTGCTGCAAAAATTCTCTTTTTGAGTTTTGAATCACCAGGACTAGAATCTTGGCTGTTCAAATTCATGTGCTGATTATTTAAGAACATAATGTATTTCACTTCAAAAATCACATTCTATCAGCTACATACATATAAGGGAGGGTTGGGCAGACTGAAAGTATGTGTGTGTGTTGGTTCTTTGTTGTGTTAGAACTCTGAGTACCACTAAACAAAAACCAAAATTAGCCACTGTGTTGTTTTTAATGCTTAATGTTGTTTTACATGTTAAGTGTGTGAATACAGATACTTAGTAGCACAAAAATTTTGAGCCTAAGAATTTTCTATAAGTATCAAAAATGGTGATCACAGATCTTCCACACAAAAAATAACTGGTTACTCCAGACTTCATCCATTGTCAGCAGTATAATTTACCAAGAGTAGTTGTGGGTGATTTTTGCTGCTGCTGTTGTTAAACAATTTGGTGTCAAATATCATGGAACCACGTAGCATCTTTAAGACTAACAGACTTATTATAGTTTGAGTTTCTGTGGATGCACAGAAGAGGACTGTGTGCTGACAAAAGCTCATATTGTGATAATGGTGTTGCAGAACTCTTTACTATTTTGCTGCCATAGATTTAAAAGCTACCCCGTGGAAGTTGCTAATATGGAGTCAGCAGTCCTCGCTGTCCTACTTGAAATAGCCCAGATAACTACTAATAAGTCCAGAGCTGTCCTGCATTCATCTCTGAAATGTAACCAACTTTAAACCTATTTTTATTCAGTTACACAGGTAGCCCAAATGGCCCTGGAGGAATGGGTATTCCTTCCCATGCTGTTCGACCCTCTGCAGACTTCACTCAAGCAGCTGCCGCCGCCGCTGTAGCTGCTGCTGCCGCCACGGCTACTGCCACCGCCACCGCCACTGTTGCTGCCCTACAGGAGAAGCAGAGTCAGGAACTGAGCCAGTATGGAGCGGTAAGATGTCGACTGTGATACAGTGCATGATGCCTCCTATAGGTCCTAACATCCCAACTGTGATGGAAGTTGCAGCCCAGTTCTATAGAGCAGAGGTTCTCAACTCTAGTAACCCAGTGTTCTTAGACTGCAGCTATCCAAAACTCTGGCCAGCAATCCAAGAAGGCCTGGGTTACCCAAAGTTGGGAATCACTGCTCTAGAGGGTTTTACGCTTGAGGAGGCTGAGAGAGATGCTGTGGAGAAACAGTGTTCTTTCTCTGTGCCTGCATCTAGGTTTTCTTGCAGTTTTAGGTGGGGGGGGCTCTGCTATCAGTGGCAGATCGAGGGCTTGGGAGCATTTTTTAAAAACAAACTCCCAGAGTCTTTTAGCCAGTGTGATCATTGCTCCAGGCTCTGAAAACACTGGAGGATAATTTAATGAATGGCAAAGAAAATCACACCCCATATGTTTGCATATCAAGCCCCATATGTCTGCATAAGAAGGTTCAGATGTATTCTGTGTTGTGATAGACAACAGAACAAAAACGGGTGAAAGATGTAAGGAAGCAGAGTTTGAAATGAAAGCAGCAGGTAAATGGCAAATATGAAATGTACTGTCTTGAGTTTATAGGCCTGATGGGGGCTGTTAGTGAAAGAACCTTTTGGAGGTCACTAATTCATGGGGTTTTCCTGAGCTGGAGGTGACGTAACACCACATAAAACAACAACAGAATGTGTATAATATTAGGGAAAAGCTTAAAGAGCCCTTATCCTGAGTTGTACAGTTCTTTCTTGTTTGTAACAACCCAGCTAGTGCTTAAATACTAGACATCTTCAGTAGATATGCATTTAACACAGTGCTCACTTGGAGGAGTGCTAGGCACCATTTGTTTATTTATTAATTTATTTAATACAGTTTATACTCTGGTCTGTGATTAGAAAGGCTTTCAGAGCAGCTTGCATGTATTAAAAAAGATAAGACAGTTTTTTACCAGGCTTACATTTGAAAAAGACATGACATACAAGAAAAATGTGGAAAGAAAAAAGGAAAATGAGAAAACTCAAGTATAAGCTCTTAAAAGCTTTAATTTGTTCAACTGGGTAGAATGGCTACTGGATGGCAGACAAGGAGACACAAAGGCTGATTATTATATATTTTTTTTTACCCTTCTTTTGCCAATGCATTAAACTATTTATATTTTTTCTGGAGATGGGAGCTGGGCAGCCCTTCAACAATCAGTTTCTCCCTCACTCGGGCCCCCGAGGACCAGCTGTGCCCCCTGGGATGAATCCTGCCAACATGGGCGGTGTGATGAGTGCTTCAGGGATGCCTTCAATGAGCATGAACACTGCAAGGGCTCCCACCATGAATGCCCTGTATGGTGGACAGCGGATGCCCCAGCATGGATACCCTGGTCCCCCACAAGGCCAGCAGATCCCTAGGCAAAGCGTCAAGCGAGCCTACTCCAATGAGGTGAGCACAGAGCAAGAGTGGGTTTGAAAGCTATGACTTGTGAACAGTTTATCCGAGGCTAGATACACAAATGCAAAGCAATAGGTAAGTTTTAGGAAGATCCATTGGAAGTGGGAAGTTGATTTGTCTGTTTCTTGATGAAATATTCTGTGAGTGTGGCTTTATGTAAATTTATTTCCCTCAGTCTCAGAATGGGTAGAACAGAGAACTAGGTTTCAAGGATAAAACTGAAATAGAAAAGTTTGCAGATAGATGCAGAGTGTCATTTTGTTGAGGCTACATGTTTTGGTGCAAAAGGTTTCAGCTTCAGTTCCTAGCACTTCAAAGTACAGTGGTGCCTCGCTTGACAACGTTAATTTGTTCCAGTGAAATCGCTGTAGAGTGAAAAAGTCGTCAAGCAAAATAAAAAGCCCATTGAAACGGATTGAAAACCGTTCAGTGTGTTCCAATGGGTTGAATACCTGCTTGTCCAGCGAAGATCCTCCATACGGCGGCCATTTTCGGTGCCTGTAAAACAAGGAATCCACCCTAGAAAACAGCAGGGGGCCATTTTCTTCAGCCAGTGGCCATTTTGAAACCTGACAGTCATCTGTTTGCTGATCGTCGTAAAGCGAAAATCAGTTCCTGAAGCAGGGAACCGATCATCGCACAGCGAAAAAACCCCATGTAAAACATCGTTTTGTGATTGCAAAAGCGATTGCAAAAACATCGTCATGAAGTGGATTTGTCGTTATACAGGGTAATCGTCCAGCGAGGCACGACTATATGGGTGGAAGGGAAGACCGGTCAGAAAACGTGGAGAGCTGTTGCAAATTAGTATATAAAACTGTGACCTAAATGGGCCATTGATCTTACCAGTCTGAAACAGCTTCCTGTGTTCCACAATACAGGCATACGTTAATCATGGAGTCAGCTTTTCTTTGGTTTGGGGAATGCATGGAAGATGAAAGCACAGAAATATGAGGGGAAGTTTAAAACAACCAGAAGTTTAACCATTATTATGAAGAGACCTCACCTATAGAATATGGATTGCAAAATGGGAAGACGTTTGTACTTAATTAGGCTGGATTTAAACTATCTGAAGAGGAGGAAAGAAGCAACAACATAATGCATTACATATATTGTGTGTACAAAGGTCAGTACACAACAGACAAAAGCGGTATCCATATAGTAGTGACAGTGACAACAAGGACAAATTGGGTGGAATAGCCAATACCCTGGAAGATAGAGACAACATTCAACAGATCTTGATAGGCTTGAGCTCTGGGTTGAAAACAACAGAATGAAATATAACAGGGATAAGTGCAAGTTCCACATCTGGAAAAAAGAAACCAAATGTACAATTATAAGATGAGAGATGCATGCTTCAATAATGCTACATGCAAGAAATATCTTGGAATTATTGTAGTTCACAAACTGAATATTAGTCAACAGTGTGATGTGACTACGAAACAAGCCAATGCTTTTTAGGCTGCATTAGCAGGTGTATTGTGTCCTGTTCCCATAAAGTACTGGTTCCCTTCTATTTAACACTGCTTAGGCCTTGTTTTGTGTACTATGTCCAGTTCTGGTCACCACACTTAAAAAAGGGTTCAGACAAACTGGAACGTATTCAGAGGAGGGCAACAAGGATGACCATGAGACTAGAAACCAAGCCCTGTAAGGAAAGACTGAAAGAAGTGGACATGCTTAGCCTTAAAAAAAGAAGACTGAGGGAGAGCTATGAAAGCATTCTTCAGGGTAAAAGTAGTCAAACAGAGGAGGATAGAATCTGATTTTAATCATTCTCAAGTGCAGGACATGTAATAATCAGCTCCAGTTGCAGGAAGCCACATTTTGATTGAATATCAAGGGAAATTTCCTATTAGGACAGTACAACAGTCAAAACAGTTATCTCAGGAGGTGGTGAGTGCTCCAATGCTGGGGGCCTTCAGGAGAAAACTGGGCAACCATCTGTCAGATCTGCTTTGATTTGGATTCCTGCATTGAGCGGTGGGTTGGACTCAGTGCCCTGATAGGTCTCTTCCAACTCCATTATTCTATGAGTCTATCAACACTTGAACCAATCACTTTCTTATTCTGGCAACATCCATTGATCCCTTCAGCTACTTTGCCAAAATCTTAATTGACCTCTGGATTAGGGAGTTAATTCTGGCAGTTGTTCTGTAACTTTAAAGCGACCTTTATCATGTATCCCCGTGATTGAGGACAATAAAGAAACAGGGATGACAGCTTGACCCACCAGGGATGACTAATTGGGACACATCCAAATTGTGCCCAGTTCAGAATCCTTTTGGAAGCCTTTCTGTGAAAGCATTATTGGCAAACAAATCTTATTTCTCTTCTACTATTTCATACATTACTGGCTGACAGAAATTTTCAGAGAGAAATAAGAGTCTCGTTACAAACCTTGCAGAGCTTAGATAAATTAGTTTTTACTGTGGCTCCAAGAACATGCCAGTTAGGGGATTCCAAGGGATATACTCCATGAAAAGTAACTTTTCCAAGTTCTTCAGTGTAACCTATCAAATTTCACACATAGTTTCTGCAATCTGTTTCAAGGGCAGGCAGTAGATATGCATTCTCATTCTAACTGACCGCTCAATGTAGCCACCGTATAGAAAGTATCTATTGCTTCTACTTGTGTTGTACTTTTGTACAAAGTATAATGGATGTGAGAAGAAGTCATAGTGGCAGTAACACTATAGAGTCTAGGCCCTAGGTTTTTCAAAATGGTTCTGAGAGTTTCCTTGTGCTAAATGAAGTTCCAGACATTACCTCAGTTTACAGGAGTTCCAGATGACCGTGATGGACGACTAGTTGGGACAAATCCATCATCAATTTTGCAGCATTTCTGTGCTCTCTAAACATTCCTTCCAACCTTTTCTTATAATATTAAATATGTTAAGGAAAAAAGACAAAATAGCTGCACATGCCTTTTCAAAAGAAAGTACCAGAAGCACTTGAAGAATAATATGCAGCCCATTTTTGAAGCTCCATGGTATTGAGAGATCACAAAAAAGCAGCACCTGCCTGGGTTTTGTTCCAGATCTGTAGAAAATCCTTCTGTGTGCTACATGGTACAATTAAGGTTTCATTGCTTTTGCACTCCACATATGGTTTATGGCCCCTTTTTTACTGCATTCTTGCTATATTTAAAGTTTGGTTGATGCTAGTATTTTTGGTTGATTAGACAAGTTTGTGGTTGAATCTATCAGATATTTTGGAGTGTTTTTAACTGTTATTTGTAAACATTTTCTTTCCTTGTAAACTGTTTTGAAATTCCTTTCCTGGGTAAATATAGTACAATATTGCAAAAATAGTAAAGAAACAATACGTGATTATTATTGTTCTATCTTTCATGTCTTTTCTAGGGTTATCCAGGACAACAGTATATACAGGGTGGCCAGTATGCCTCCCAGGCTGGACAGTATGCTCCTAATGCACCTCCACCATCTGCTCCATCCCCATCATATCCTGGCCACAGGATGCCCATGCAACAGGGAATGAGCCAGTATCTCTCAGCCTCTGGCACTAGTGGTCCATACTATAAGGTATCCAACTTGCAATGGTAACCATTCCCCAAGCTTCTCCTCTAATGGAAGGGAGGAAGAGAATATCCAAGAGGAGTGAACTCACCCTGAGAGAGATGGAAAATGAGGGCAGAAGGGATGTGCCTTACTTTAACATAAACCAAAAGAACACTTTGTTATTTTTCTTTTTCATTGAAGTTTTAGTATTTTATTAATCTGAGATCCCTAGTTTTTGTTCAGACATATCCTATGAACTTAAGCCTCAACTAAATAACAGGCAGATTTAGAGATGGAAAATGTAAGTTGCTGAGGGATTCTGGGAGTTGTAGATGAAAGAACTCCATAAACATTTCCTTTCTCTGGACAGATTTCTCTAATTATTGAAGAAAAGGGCTCTTCTGCCCTCAGGGTGAAACCATATACCAGTAGTAGAAATATGTTCTGAGGTAGAGTTTGGAAATTTCCTTTTTTGTATTACAACTCCTAGAAGCCCCTGCTGGCTATTCTTGCTGTGAGATTCTATAGTCTTGTCCAAACTGTGGTGAGAAGGCATAGGGTCCAGCTCAATGGCTGGAGCTAAGCAGGTTTAAATATACTTAAGGCCTCAACAGGAGGCTCTGTTAAGTACTCTTGAATTCCGTAACACAAGGCAGGTTGTGTATAATGTACCCCACCAGTAGTCAAAGTAAGTATGGAGTAGATAAAAACAAAATCTACCAATATATTTCAGACCATTTTAAATGTCAGTGGCACTTCATCAGGAAAATCTGCAAAAGATGGACATATAACATCACAAACTTAAATGTGTTCCTACAGGCAGTTTCATAACCCTGTGAACCTGTGGTGTATGTTTATTTGTCCCTGTCTTAAATCACATATCAGGAAAACTGTAAAGACAGTTTGAAATGATAGTTTGAGAAAAACACATGAATAATATCTACTGTTAAAATATAAGGGCACCATTGCTACTGGGAAGATAAATCCTGTAAAACAGAAGATTTCTTCTGTAGGGCAGTGGTGAAAAATCACAAGTAGGAGAAAGGGTTTTTTGGTTAGGGTTTTTTCCCCCCAAAAAAGGTGGCGCTTAACATTTTGAAAAGATGCATTTCATTAGTCTTAATTAATTTCATAACCTTGAAAGGTTGATTTAACACTACTGATTCCTCTTCATGGTCTCTGTGAATACACACTAATGGGGTTAATTCGCACTTGCGTGGAGCAGCCTCGGAACTTTCTAGCTCCAGCACATGGTGCCGGGACCTCCCCCATGCTGGCTATAACTTCACCCCTGGCACCAAGTGCCTAAGTTGTTTTTCGACCACCGCTGTTGCAGCTTCATTTGGAACTTAGTGCACTCAGTCAAACAATCAATCTTACCTTTCCCTCTCTTCCTTGCACCTCCCTGGCTTGATTCTGGACCACTGACGTCGCTTTACAACTTTGAGTTATCTGCAAAAAGAAAAAAAAAGGTTTAATTATTGTGTTGATTACTTTGAGTTTATGGCCTCACTGGGCCTCTTTAAGAGGTGCAAGGTGTGCTCAAACAAAACTCCCCTCTCCAACGGACATTTCCGTTGCTTATTTTGCCTCAGGGAAGAACATCAGTTGGCCGTGTGCATCTTTTGCAAATACTTTATGAAGCTGGCTCCAATGTCTTAAATCATTTCTTTGGGAAAAATCCCTTTCACCATCTCAAACTGTCTCTATAGATTGCCCCAAAACTCTGTAACCATCTCCGGCAGCTTTGCCCGAGGTTGCAACCCAAAGAGCAGCCAAACCAAAATGATGAAAATGGCAGCCAAACCGAAATCATCCTCAGGCTTGAGGTTGACCGCCGCAGTGTAGACACCATTTCAGTCTTCGACATTGAGTTCAAAGAAGAAGAAGAAAACTCCTAAGCCTGCTAAAGATGCAGAAGTTTCAGCACCAAGGCCGGAGATATCCTGGCAACATTAGGTAAGCCTGAGTGTAACCTCGGGGGAGGAGGATGTACCCCTGCAGCTGCCGCCGCCTTCCCCTTCTGTCAGTGATATTCCTGACTGGGGTAACACCTCTCTAGAGGTTCTTCAGTTGGCACAGGCAACCTGCGGCCTCGCCATCACAGCTGGCTCCGACTGAGGTTCCTCATAAGAGAACCCATAAATCCCGATACCTGGAGCCACCTGAGCAACCGGACCCATATAGCCAGCAGTTGGAGCCGAGGGGATACCCTGCTCGTTGAGGCCTGTGGCATTGCCTTGACTACTGGCCGGCGTATGAGGCAAAGGACTTTGAACGGGACCTGCCTTTTCATCCAGGACCCTATCAATATGACCCTTGCCCTTGGTATGGACACTACGAATCCTATGCTCAGCCCTTTTTGCTGACTCCACCTCAGTATCGCGGATGGTGTGAGCTGAAGAAGGCTATATTCCCCCGCCTCCTTCTTGACCTCGCAAGAGGCACCTGCCGCCAGCCTCTGCTACCATCGGAGGTGCCAATCAATCTCGGCTGGTGTCTGACCCAGATGTGGGCTGTGCAGGCTATGTTTACCCTGCAGTCAGACCCAAGGCGAGCTTGGCTCAATCCCGAGCTGGAGAAGACTTGTCCCCAGGAACACTAGAGAAGGCACCTTAGTCCCCTTCCAATGATTGGGACTCTGACTCACAGGTGTCAGAGGGAGAGGAGGACTCACCAACAAATATTCCTACTCCTGTGTCGGATGTGGCAGACAACGATCCCCCATCTCCATCAGAGGATTATTCCTCCTACTCACACCTCATTCACCAAATAGCGAAGGTCCTCGAGCTTGATGTCGAGGTGCCTGAAGTCAAGAAATCAGACAGGATATATGAAGACATCACTCAAGAACAGACTCCTCTAGTATGCCTCGTATTCATACCTTCCTTCTCTGAACTCATGAGAGACTCATGGCTTAAACTTTCCACCTCCTATCAGGTTTCGAGGAGGACTGAGAATCTGTATAAGATGTATGGTGCTCATACAGATTGCCTCTTAAACCACCCTCTACCAAATTCTTTTGTTGTTGACAGCACACAAAACAGGGTCCGGAATCATTCTGCTACTTCTCCTTCTGACAAAGAAGGACGCAAGTTGGATATCCTGGGCCGCAGAATGTACTCTCTAGGCTGTTTTGGCCTCAGGGTAGCCAACTATTTGGCTTCCATGGGTGCTTACCACTGCCATTTATGGAATTTGGGACTGCCCGGTCTGGAAATGGCTCCTGAGGATGTTAGAGCCCAGGGCCTCTCATATCATCAGGAGGCCATGAGACTCACAAGACACGGGCGCATTGCCGCCCGCCACACTTTAGAAGCGCCTTCCAAGCAGTTGGCCACAGCCATCTCTCTATGCCGTCATGCTTGGCTGCGCTCTGCTGGCATTTCCGAAGACGCCAGGGCACGGATAGAGGACCTGCCATTTGATGGAGCAGGACTTTTCGATGAAAAGACCGATGAGATACTCAACAACCTTCTCAAGCTCCGGAAGACGTCACGGTCCTACTCTGTGGAGCAGTCTCGCCCAAGAGGCGCCTGGAGGCCTTCTTACCAGCCTAGGGAGTATCAAGATCACCAGAGACTGCAGGCTCAAAGTTACCAGCCTGCACCTCCTAGGCAAGTGGGCAGGCAGCTCCCCCTCCAGCAAAAATGCCGACAATACCGCAAAAACAAGCAGTCTCTTTAATGCTTACAATTTCTCCATTGTTGACCAGTCAGTCCGTTTGGCCCCTTTCTTGCACTCCTGGTATTCCATCACATCTAATTCTTGGCTACGCTATTGATAGTCCCCCCCCCCCCATCAAGGGCCATTTCAAGTCCTCCCCCCCCCCCCTTTGGAAGATGAAATTCAAACCCTGCTGGATAAAGATGCCATTGTTCCTTTGCATCTCCCTGATGTTTCAGTAGGTTTCTATTCAGGTTATTTTACCATCCCCAAGAAGGATGGAGGCCTCCGTCCAATTCTTGATCTTCATGGCCTGAACTCTTTAATTACTTTAATTAATTACTTTAATTTCGTATGGTTTCCCTGGACTCTGTTATCCACATGTTACATCATGGGGATTGGTTCACGGTGATTGACCTCAAGGATGCTTATTTTCACATTAGCATCAGGTTGGATGTCGTGAGTTCAGCCAAAGAAAATCTGGAATCTGAGGGGTTAATTAGAGCGGAGGAAAATGCTGGGCAATCAGAATCGCAGACAACTGAATCACCACCAGATTCTCCTCCACCAGTAGCCAGAGTGAGGGATAAGCTTCGGCAAGGAGTCATGACACGAAGATCAGAGGCTCACATGAATGCTCCCCATAGGAACATCAGGTTGACCAGCCCTGAGTTTTAGCAGAATGAAGTGTTTAAATAACTGTTGCTGCTATAAAGTATGCACCCAGACGCTGGAAGTTTGTGGAAGCAACAAATCAACACTCTGGCTTGCATCCATGCTCCTGCTTATCTTGGACTTTGTTCTCTGGATCCTTGGCTTTGGACTCTGACTTCTGACTACAGTTTGTGTTTTGGCTCTGGCATTTTGGTATCTGCTTTGCATCTTCTGGACTTGTGATATTGGACTGGCTAATTGGACTTTTGCCTGTTGAAACCCCCTGGGAATGTGACATCGGAGCACTGGCATTTCCTAAGGTTCTCAGTAGGAGGCAGGACCTATGAGTTTAAAGCCCTCCCCTTTGGTTTGTCCATTGCACCCCTGATGTTCACTAAATGTCTAGCTCCAGTGGTGGCACACTTGATGTTCACTAAATGTCTAGCTCCAGTGGTGTCTTTTGGGAGTCACAATTTACCCATATTTGGATGACAGGCTCCTAGTAGATGAGTCCCAGTCACGAGCTCGTAGACATACAGACTTAACGCTTCCCTCTTGTCAACATTACGACTGAGTCCACCTTGCACCCTACCCAACGTGTAAATTATATAGGAGCTAATTTGGATGCTTCCTTGGGTCAAGCCTTTCTCCCCAAAAATAGAATTTTGAAGATGGAATCTGTATTATGCTCCTTCTCCTCAGGTGCATGGATCCCCGCCCTCAAAGTCCAGCAATTCTGGGGCTGATGGCATCCACCATGGCCATGGTGCAACATGCACAGGTGAAGATGAGGTCTCTTCAGGTCTGGTTCCTGTCACTCTTCTCGATGACTCACGACCACCCGTCCACACTACTGCAGGTTACGCTAGAGCTTGCTGCACAGCTCAACTGTTGTAGACTCCCTTCCAGTTTGCTGGTAGGAAGGCCTTTTGGCTTCTTGACTCCTCTGGTCCAGGTCGTTGCCGATGCCAGCCTGAAAGGCTGGGGAGCTCATCTTGGCCGCCACGCAGTTCACAGCTGCTGGTCTTCGATGAAGGCTGGCCTTCATATCAACAAGCTGGAGCTCCTAGCGATTGCCAGAGCATTTTGAACCTTCGAGCCCCTGCTCCAGGGTCGAGTAATCCAAGTGGCGTCAGGCAATACAGTTTATTATATAAACAAACAGGGTGGCACTGACTCTTTACATCTTCTGTTTCACACCATCAACCTCTGGGAATGGTGCTTTGTCCAGTACATATACCCAGTGGCTGTGCATGTAGCAGGCAAAGGGAATTCCTTTACAGACCATCTAAGCGGGCTACAGTCCTGCTCCCACGAATGGGCTCTGGACAATGCAACCTTTCACCACCCCTGCCGCCAATGGGGAACTCCAGAAGTAGATACCTTTGCGTCCCAAGCCAACAAAAATGTACCAGGTATTGCTTGTGAGCCAGCGTCAGCCACTAGTCCCTAGTCGACATCGTCTAGAGGGGCGGGGTATAAATAAATAAATAAATAAATAAATAAATAAATAAAAGGGGACACCTTTCTGATACAATGGTCATCTGGCCTCTTTTACATGTTCCCACCCATTCCCCTTCTCCAAAGGACCGTGATAAGGATAAGGACACGAACATGCAGACATAATCCTTATAGCCCCGTGGTGGCCTTGTCAGCCATGGTTCTCGATTCTACTCTCCAGAGATTTAGAGTACATCAGGCTGAAGATGGTCCCTCACCTACCATCTTGGGACAAAGGATGGATTTTTCATCTGGATCTCAAATCCCTCCATCTGACAGCCTGGAGACTTCCCGACTGTAGCAGATGTGCTAAACCATGTCCACAAGCCCTCAACTTCTTCAACCTACTCCTATAAATGGAATGTGTTCTGTAGATTTGTGTCAACACACCACTTATCTTTCACCCCAACAGCTCTAGATGCACTTTTTGAATTTCTCCTCCACCTGTTTTGATGAGGGCTTTCACACTCAGCCTTAAAAGTCTACACAATTGCCATTGTAGCCCACCAGCCTCCATCTTCTCAAGCAGTCATGCTCTTTAGACATCCTACCTTGAAGCATTTCCTGCGAGGGCTGAAAAATATGTGGCCTGCCTCCAAACCCCTAACGCTACAGTGATCACTCCAACAAGTTCTTCAACGACTCATGACGCCTCCCTTTGAACCCTTGGCTTCTACTTCACTTCGCTTGTAGTCCTTCAAGACTGCATTCCTCCTGGCAATAACCTCAGCGTGGAGGGCTGGAGAACTAGCTGCGTTGAGAGCAGACCCTCCTTTCCTGCAGTTTCACCCAGACAAGTTGACTCGGCATCCAGACCTTACCTTTTTGCCCAGGGTTTCGTCTTCTTTCCACTTGAATCAACCAATTGTGCTTCCTGCTTTCTTTCCCTCACCAACCTCACCACTCAGAAAAGCTCTACACTCCCTTGATGTCAAGCAAGTTGTCTCATATTCACCGCACGGCCACTTTCCGTACATCACAACGACTCTTTGTCACCTTTGCCAGCCCCTCTATGGGAGCATCAGCTTCCTCTCAGACCATTTCTAGATGGATAGTCCAGACCATCCACCTCGCCTATGATTTAGCTGAGACTCCTCTTCCAGGCCCAATCAGAGCTCACTCTACAAGAGCTGCAGCGTCCTCAATGGCCTTTCTCCATGGAGTAGACATTGCAGGCATCTGCTGAGCTGCCGCAGGGGTCACTCTGTCTACCTTCGTCTCCCATTACCACCTAGATATCCGGGCTGAGGCTGCAGTGGATCGAGCTGTCCTGGCTTCTGCACTTTCATGACATCCCTCCTCTGGGTAAGTGAGCTTGCTAGTCACCCATTAGTGTGCATTCGCAGAAACCATGAAGAAGAAGAGGTTACCTACCTGTAACTCTGGTTCTTTGAGTGGTCATCTGTGAATTCACATTCCCTGCCTGTCCTCCCTACTGTCCCTCACGTGTGTCATTGCCTGCTGTGCAGCGGCGGTCGGTTCCATGGAACTGAGGCACTCGGTGCCGGGAGCGGGGTTATAGCCAGCGTGGGGGAGGTCCTGGCACCATGTGCTCGAGCTAGAACGTTCTGAGACTGCACCACGCAAGCACGGATTAACCGCATTAGTGTGAATTCACAGATGACCACTCAAAGAACCAGAGTTACAGGTAGGTAACCTCTTTTTCTTATCGGAACTGGAAATGATAAAAATTGTGCTGATGCTCATTTATTTGTGATAGTGTCTGAGGCAGGACGGGGGAGGACATTTTAACAGGAAAACATTTTATTTGGAGTCAGTTTATTAAACTTATGGCATTGCTTTTCGTACTCTTTCCGGTGATTAATTATATTCAAAGATGTTGTACAGCTTTGAATTCTGTTTTGTAAACATATATTTTAGTCACTGGAGAACAATATTACTGATTGAAACTGCTGCATTTTAAAGGAATAATTGTGAATATATATTTAATGTGGTTTATGACATTGCTTCTAACAGCATATTGAAGTTTTATAACAACTTTTATTGTAAGAACCATTATAATCAAAAGTTTCCAAAACACATGCTAACAAATATTTTTATTCATCCTGTTGTTTTTTTATTCTGCATTGTTAACTGGGTTCCCATTTTGTGGACTATACATTTTATTCATTTTATTTATTACGTTTTATCATGTTCTTCCACAAAAAGAAGTGCCCAAGTAAGCTAACAGACTTTGCTAAAAATAAATTAAAGGTAAAAGGTAAAGGTTCCCCTTGACAATTTTTGTCCAGTCGTGTCCGACTCTAGGGGGCGGCGCTCATCCCACTCTTCAAGCCATAGAGCCAGCGTTTGTCCGAAGACAATCTGTCCGTGGTCACATGGCCAGTGTGATTTAGACACGGAACGCTGTTTACCTTCCCACCGAGATGGTACCTATTTATCTACTCGCATTTGCATGCTTTCGAACCACTAGGTTGGCGGGAGCTGGGACGAGCAACGGGCGCTCACTCCGTCGCGTGGATTCGATCTTATGACTGCTTGGTCTTCTGACCCTGCAGCACAGGCTTCTGCGGTTTAGCCCACAGCGCCACCACGTCCCTTAAATTAAATAAATTAAGCAACGATTTAACCACAGTCATCACTGTTTCCTAAAATTATTATTGAGAAATAAATTTAAATGTCCCAAATAGCACAAATACAGTGGTGCCTCGCTTAACGACGATAACCCGTTCCAGGAAAATCGCTATTAAGCGAAAACATCGTAAAGTGAAAATAAAAACCCCATTGAAACGCATTGAAACCTGTTCAATGTGTTCCAATGGGGTAAAAACTCACCGTCCAGCAAAGATCCTCCATACGGCGGCCATTTTCGCTGCCTGTATAGCGAGGAATCTGTCCCTAAACACAGCGGGGAGCCATTTTAATTACCCGGCAGCCATTTTGAAACTGCCGATCAGCTGTTCTAAAAACATCGTTTTGCGAAGAATCCATTTCCGAAGCAGGGAACCGATCATCACAAGGCAAAATTCCCCCATTTAGACCATTGTTTTGCAGTCGCAATTGCGATCGCAAAAAGATCGTCATAAAGCGGATTCATCGTAATGCAGGGCAATCGTTAAGCGAGGCACCACTGTACATAAAGAACCTCAAATTTCCTCGTTTCAAAACCAACAGGTCTCTGGCAAACAGATGCCAACCAGAAGGTATTAAGAGATTACCCACAAGAGATGGATTGTAGGATAATTATAAATAATATAATGCTAGCAGTTTCTTTTCAGTTCTAGTTTAACAGTCACAGAGCTTTGATAAATCATTTTTTAAAACTACATATCCCAGAATTCCCTACCTTGAATGGCTACAGAAGCTGTGGGTCAAAAAACTAAATTTTCAAGTAGTTGACAAAATTACCCTTGTTTAAATTCTCATTCAGCCACAGAGATCACTGAGTGAACTTGGATCACTCATTGTTTCTTAGCCTAACTTACATACATCACAGGCTTGTCATGAGGATGATATTTGAGAGAGAACCATGTATATCACCTTGAGCTCCTTACAGAAATAGATGAGATATAAATATGATAAATGCATGAATATGTGAATGAATTATTAAACTGGCAATTTATTTTCTTGACACTTGGAATAGTTTGGAAATATAGAGTATTCTGATAACAGTTGTCTTTGGACTTACCTTTTCTAGCCGACTGATCAGTTCAATGGTCAAACTGCCAATTTCAATGGAGGCAGCTTCAACAATTATGGACAGACTACTATGAATGGGGTGAGTCCTCTTGTTCATTTCCATCAAGATTTGTCTAATTGTGTAGCAAAGATGTGGAACAATGTCCTTTTCTCTTTTAATGCTATTTCTCACAGAGAATTGCAGTGTGATGTAGTGGAGGGACTTGGGACTCTGGAGAACAGGGTTCAAATCCCCACTTGACCATGGAAACTCACCAGGGAGTAGAACCAGTAAAACCACTCCTTAAACATCTCCCTTACCTTGAAAGCCCTGTTAGGGTCCCTATAAGTTGGTTCTGACTTGACCGCATGGGACACACACATACATACACTATATTTCTCATGCTTTAGCATTTCCTTGTATTTATTGTTTATTAGTTACCTCTTTATCTTATCTTTCTCCCTCAAAGAGCCGAAGGTGGCATATATGGCTTTTCTTTTGAGCTGTCCTCACAGCTATTTTGTGAGATTAGTAAGGCTGAGAGATGTCATCCAGGTCAATTAGCAAGTTTCAAGGCTCAGTGGGTACTTCCTACACGCTAGCCATCAAGGCAAACAGGATATTCTTTAGTTTCCAAAAATCTAATGATACCTTTGTGAGTTTAGTCTGTCCACAAGATAGATCTATTCTTCTTTTTCTCAGTCTCACATACATAGCCACAGCCCCCATGCATTTGCTTTTGCTTTCTTTCTGTCACAGAGCTGTCCTCAATTTATTGTTTTTTCTTGCTTTTTTAAAAAAAATGTGAATTCGTAAGAAAATTATATTCCATATAAACAAGACTCTGTTCCCATGTTTCATATTAATTAATCTGGAATTGCTATAATATCTTAATTTTTGACAGCTGTTTATTAACATGGAATACATTCTCCCCTTCCAAAAAAGCATTTATTAAAGAAATAGATTTTAAAAAGTGAACAAGTTGAATGATTTGTGTTTTCTTATGTACTGCTTTTTCTTAACATTCCCTCCATCTGGTCCATTTTTATTAGTTTTCCCTCTTGCTTTCCTAGACGACCAGCAATGTATATTTTCTGTCTTTCCTTACTGTAAAACAGGAGTCACATGTGCCCATTAAACTTAACCATAGTTTAGTATGAAGTATTCAGACTAGAATGGGATATAGTGGGCTCATGCACTCTCCCTCTTTTTTCCTTCTGTTTGTTGTGTCCAGATTGACAAACTGTGTAACATTAACTATGGTTAGTTTCAAACCAGGCAAATTCACACCATAGTTACTGAAGCTGGGTTGTCTAAGCTAACCATACTGTACTTAAAATCAGTATTTAGAGAGGTTATTTACTTGAACTTAACGAGCTCCAAAATCACTAAACATAACAAGCACGCTGGAGCCTCTTTTGTCTCAGGCCTCCAAGAGTGCTCACTCCTCTTCTCAAGTAGCTGCCATATATTGAATTTCAATATTGAATTTCAATATCAGTTACTCAGAGAGACCAGCGTTACTTTAAAACTTAAACTTGTTTATTTGATCAGTAAAATATAATAAGTAATTCACCAGTTGATAATCAATTTCTCTCACTCACTGAACTCACTAACACACAGCTTCTAACTCTCACTGACTTTCTTGCACCCTGTCTCTCAGACTCACAGAACTCTCTCTCACATACTCCATACACTCCTTTATATCCCAGCCCCTCCCCCTTTTGCACCACCTTCCATTCCCTCATTGGCTCCTTTTCCACTGCTCAGCTGTGACGGACAGGTGAGGGCAGGGCTGAACGTTACAGTTTGAAACCAGGCAAAATCACACCATAGTTACTGAAGCTGGGTTGTCTAAGCTAACCATACTGTACTTAAAATCAGTGTTTGGAGAGGTTATTTGTTTGAACTTAAATTCCAGGATGTGCTGGCCAGGCTGGCTGAGGGAATCTGGGATTTTCAGTCCAAGCACATGCCTCTTCAAACTGTAGTTAAAAATAATAATTGTTCCAGGTTATAACTTTCAAGCTAATCGAAGTTTCCGGTGTTCCTTAGAGCCGTTTGAGAGACAAGATGCTAAAGGGAAGTGTTCAATCTTGAGACTCACTACAGTTCATTCTGGCTCATGCAACATATGACACTGAGTTACGGCTGAGTGTGATGTGCAAATGCAGCTGTTCTCTCCATGTGTATTAAATCTAGTGCTCACAGCTTGCATCCAACTGTGCAAAACTAGTGTAATGTGTTGGTTGTCCTTTCAGCCTGGAAGATCCATGCCTGGTTACCCTAGCTCCCCTCTTCCTGGCAATCCCACACCTCCAATGACACCTGGAAGTAACATCCCCCCATACATGTCCCCAGGGCAAGATGTGAAGTCACCCTTCCTTCCAGACATCAAGCCAAACATGAATTCTTTGCATCCCTCCGCTTCTGGTAAGTGATACGTCTTTATCAGGTCCTCCTCTGTACTGAGAAGGAGTGTGGGTCCCTTCAAGCTCCATGGTTCTATGATCAAGGGGCTTTAGAGTTTGGCTGAAATGCATATGTGTGTACACACACACACAGACGAGAGAGAGAGAGAGGGCCATGGACTCTGTGAATATATGCATCTTCAGCCAGACCTGGAAAGCTAAGGGGCAAACTTAAGGAGGAACTTTCACAGGGCTTTGAATGCACCCTTGATTTTTCTCTTTCTGGATGAATACTGGATGAGTACTTCCTTTTCATCCCGGTAGTCTATTTGACCTAAGGAAGTTACAAGCGTAGCTATTACATTAAAAGAGACCGTAAGTCAATTTTGTATTTGAAAACCTCCCTTCTCAGAAACCAGGCCATGCTAGCTAGGAGGTTCTGCGCTTCCTTTTCATCCCGGTAGTCTATTTGACCTAAGGAAGTTACAAGTGTAGCTATTAAATTAAAAGAGACCATAAGTCAATTTTGTATTTGAAAACCTCACTTCTCAGAAACCAGGCCATGCTGACTAGGAGGTTCTGTGTGATATAGTCCTGTGGTTCTCAACCTTGGGTTATTCAGGTGTTCTTGGACTACAACTCCCAGAAACCTTGGCCAGCACAACAGGTGGTGAAAGCTTCTGAGAGTTGCACTCCAAGAACTCCTGAATGACCCAAGGTTGAGAACCACTGATATAGTCCAAACAAGTTATTTTTCCAAACTCTTTCAAATATTTCAATATCTTCCCTACATTGTGTTCTAGCTCCCAAATTCCAAATGTCCCGCGTACAACATTCATTGTACAACTTTGAAAACTAACGTCCCACAAAAAGTCATTCTGAGCACTTGTTGAGCACTCTGTTCCTCAGGATGGTTCCCTGAGTTCTAGTCTGAGATAACTGCCTTATTAAAGGATTTTCTGTCTGTTTTGTCACTGGGTGATAGTGGATGAGAAACAGGAGAGACCCTTTTAATGTATTTCTGTTTTTTGTTCCTGGGAAGGAAAATGTTACCCATCTGTTCCAAGACTCTAGTGGAGTGTTACGTTTTGTTTACAGTTTTCATCAGCCCCATCCAACAAGGGTCAGGGTCAGGGATGATAGGAATTATAATGCAAAACATTGAGGCATTCCAGGTGGTTCCTATCTGTTTCACTTTGTCACCCATCCCTATGCCTTCTTTTTTTTTTTCCCAACAATCACCCACCATTCCATAGTACAGGGGTCAGGGAACTTTTTTACCTTTTACCCCCCCCCAAAAAAAATGTTTTTATATACGCCAACATTACCCCCTTGATTTGAAAGGAAGGAAATCATACATTATTTGAATTAAAAATATTACTGAATCTACACAGGCTGTGTACCGAACTAGCAGGATGCACCAAATTTGATAAAGATGTGCACTATTTTTGCTAGAACACATTGCGCTCCA